TTACCACTTATTTTACTGTTGTTATTATCATCACCATCATCATCATAAATTTAATCGTTATCGTCATTTCGAACGAAAGAAATCATTTTGCTATTACTATGCCGGCGGAAATAAATTGGGACAAAGCTGTTTTTAGAAAATCAATGGACGTTTATCCAGCGATCGTATATATTATTGTTATGACAGATGTTGGTCATGACAGCAGCTATTCATCAGCCTGGCGACGGTAACGATGACGATGGYGATGACGACGACCGAATTCTGTTCGACAGAACACGACTATAGATAAACGAAGACTGCGGGTCACAAAACGTGTTGTTCCAGCTTTAAATAACGAACGGCGTGAAGGACAAAACCAAAGAAAATAATAATAATTCAAGACTAACAGATAAACAATTTTAACAACAACATTTTTTCCCAAGCGGTATATTTTTCTTTTAGAACCTATGACAAAAAATCCTCTCCAATCGAATGCATCCGTGGAGTGGATCCTATTTATTATACGTCACCAAAACTTAAAATTAATTACTAACGATTAACCTCCAGAATATTATTTTGAGAAATAAATTATGTTATACGTTGCGATTCACCAAACATGCTCATCCCTTATTTTTGTTTAAATTKATTAATTGAATAAATAAAATAGCAAATGTATTCAAATTTTGATTTTTGGGATTTAATATTATATTATTTTTTATTTTATTATTTAACTATTATTACTAGACTATTACACCTCAACAATAATATATATATATACATTAAGACTCTATTTTAAATTAGGTACATACAATTTATTGCACTACTTAATGAGTGTCCAGCTGTGGCGATATAAATTGTTGAATTTTAAATAACAGTCCTTTACAGTGCTGCACATTATTGTGGATTTTTTGTTTTTAACGTTATGATAATGTACCTAGTTCAAAATTCAAACGAATAATTTATAACAAGGATAATATTCCTAAATGATGATTTTTCAGTTGTTAAAATAGATGTAATATCAGATCTAGTAAATTTGACTGCTATTAGAAATCATAAATATTAATAATTTAATATAAATTACTTAATTCATCGAATTACCATAGCCTCCATATCTTYCAAACTTATTATTATGAAACTATTACCCTAAGTATACACAAAATTAAATCGCTCAAACATTATTCTTTCAAATTCAGGTTTGGTTGTCATTTTAAAAATAGAAGTTTATATTTACACACGTTACACCCTAAGTAGTAAGTACAAAAAAATTTCAAGTAATTGAAAATATGGTCTTAAAATACAATATTTAAAAAATCGAGAAATAGAATTCGAATAACTGTATTATTAAAAAAGAATAAGAGGATGGCATGTTTGGTGAATCGCCCTCTTTATTATACTGTTTTTTTTTTAAACTTAATTTATAACACCTAGATTATTAATATTATTAATATTTTAATAATTTTTATAATTAATAATAATTAATATTATTAATAATACCTATATTATTAATATTTTTGACAAAGTCTTTACTGTGCTTAATATGAAAACATCATTCATTTGACAGCTGCACAGCGCTCAAAGTGTAAACGTAAAAGGACAAACGCACACTCACACACAACATAATAATAATATTATTAATATTAAACGCGATTACTTGCCGACTTAGATACTTCAAGTTGTATTATTATAATTACGTTTTTTTCCTCACTCATATATATTATTCGAACAATTTCGATATTAATCTATAATTTCGCATTATTCGCATGACACGTTCTTACTAGTATGAATAATACTATAGCTGAGTACTAATACCGAGCTGTAAAGCATACACAATATAACATGTCAGTGAATACAGTTGCAGTGGTGTTAAAGTCGGTCAGAGATCACGTTTATTTGTCTTATTGACGAGCACTTAAATCCTCCGAATTTAATGTTGTGTGTACGTTATATTATTGTATTGTTGTCTATATTTAACGCCGCGTCGAATGTCTGTCTCGATATCATATATTCATATTATGTACAATGTCCCACTTGTGAACTTGATTTATTATATTATTACAGAGTTTTTTCTCGTAGAAATATAGTATAATCTATAAAAATGATTTAATCTGAAAATTCACTTAATAAAAATATTTGGTTTATTGTTATAAAAATAACAACTGCGTTTATATGCAATCGATAATGTGCGTTGGATTTAATAAATTTGGCGATCCAGTGATGCGCATATTAAGAAGTTTTTCAAATAACAGATCAAAGCAAAAATTATAATTTATCGTAAATTGTCTGATTAAAAGTGCAAAAATAATAATACGTGTTATAATAATTCATGTATTTTTATCAAAACTTTTAAAATTTTTATGACGTTTAATGAATCCTACAATACTTTATTGTTATTTACGTAAAAAAATAGATATTGAGTACATTTGTCTAAGTTTTCGCGATGAAAAGAAAAAACTTTTAACCAGGACATTTTCATAGAAAACGTGAAACTTTTCGTAAATCAATTGTTTGTCCGCATTTTAGTTCTGCAAGTTATGTCGTATAGTAATATTAACGAGATTAAAAACAGATTTTGGGAACACACCATATTCACTTCTGCAGAAAAAAAAAAACGTGAATTTTAATACATTAGTTTTTGGTCAAAAAGCACGAATTATAATTTTATTACAATTTGTGTCTGTATTTTTACTAATACTTGTAAACATTTATAATTTTTTAAATTCTTTGTCCTTGTTATTGGTACCTACCTATCGTTTGTCTGTCGACATTTTAGTTCTTAAATAGCGTATGTAATATATAATATGTATAGTGAATATAGCTACGTGGAATATAAAGATATTTTGGGTACCACAATATGTCATAATTTATTGGTAAGAAAGCTGCATGAGTTTTTATATTTTTTCGGTGATATCATAAATTTAAAAAAAAAATATTAAATTGTTCTCGTATCAATACTCTGTCAATTTTACAATACCTCATTGTTATCCACGACAGTTAAAAAACATATATAATTGGTCAAACGAGTTGCTATGTAGGTATCAATTATGATGGTAGTTTGGTACACGCGCGGGAAACGGATGTGAAATATTTGTACCCCGCATACCGTCTGTTATATTATGACGTTATGTGTAATGTATATACGTCGGCCTTGTAATAAAGTCATCAGATTATCGTGGTTGCCGTTATTATACCTATGTATACTTACGTATATGTTCGATTCAGTGCTCATCTATATACGCACATTGTACACACGATGAAGTCGTTTGCCGTTCATTATTATTATTATTATTATTTTCTATCGTCATTATTTTACGTCTAGCAAGAAGACGTGATCGCGCAGACCGATTGAAATTAAAATGTACCGCTATCGTCGTTATGACGATGTTGTCATCGTGCAACTTCCGGACTGAAGCTGTACCTACCTACTTAATATCTACTATATTGTATTCGTTGAGGTATATGATACAACAACTTAACTGTAAATGGGCGGAGGGGAGGGGTGAACGTATAAGGTAGGTTAGGTTAGTGTTACAGGTATAATATGTCTAATAAAATATAGGTAGGTACTTAGGTATTACCTGTCATAATATTATATACCTATATACGGCATTTTCCCCTGATGTAGCGATGATAGTGGGTGTTGATGGCTTTAAACGCACACTACGAATTTATTTATATATATACCCCGAGATTATATATAACCTTTCGTCAGAGGTATACGCTCACTACAGATCGTTACGATTTTACGATTTTCTYTGCGTACACGCGACGCGATAATGATCAACATCGCTTGACATAGGTGTAAGTATAAGCATAATAAAAAAATGCGACGCGTTCACATTATGACAATATATCGCATCCACGAGAGTACTATAATATGATATGTAATACTTCTAATAGTATAAAGTATAATAATTTACGCAGATTTTTAAGCTTTGTAAAATATACATAATTTTAATATAAGCTACAGTTCTTCACGCGACTATATATAMTATCTCTTCCTTCATTTTCCAAATATTAATTCCTCTTAAGCAGATAGTGTCTCTATTATAATAATTATTATATTCGTGGAAAATTCTTTTTTGACTCTATCGACTCTTCTTATTCCGTTCTTGGACTCCTACAAACTAAAAGGTCCGAAACGCCAGCGATAATTCTTGTTTTGTTGTTCTTCTGCGCAGTTCAACATGAGATTATTTAAGAAACGAATATATCTATCAACCACGAGTCTGTAAAAATCAGTAGGCATCTCTCCTCTAACTTAATTTTCATAAGATTAAAAAGTTACTATTATGTATTTTAAAACAGTACTAACGGTACTCAATGTAATAACGATTTTTGTAAAATCAAAAAAGTCAAAAAAGATAACTTTACTAACTCAACTTAAACATAAACACTTATAAAAACAGTGAAAAATAATCGTAGCCAAATTTATCACTGAAAGCTAAAACTTTTTTACTCCTTTTCATCTCCTTGGGAGTTTAATTCCTAAAAAACCATTCTTTAACGACGCCTACGTTACAAAATCAAAACACGCTCTTGAAAATTAAAAATTGTTATGTATTTCAATACCAAATTTCACCGGAATCGATTAAGTCGTTAAGCCGTTAAGACATAACAGACAGACAGAGTTACTTTTCGCATTTATAAAAAATTACACTCAAACATAATATATAGTATTATTACATTTATGCGTTTTCTATATAATAAAGTAAATATTATCGATTATTGGTTTTTAGCAAAAAAATCGCTCAACGATTCGTGAAATTGGTCTGATATCATAAAAAACTGCAATGTTTAAGAGGTAGGTACCTAAAAACAAAAACTCGTTGGTCAGAAAAACGCATTAGCATCCAAACATGGGTAATATGTTATTATTATACTGCAGAACGTATTCGCGGTGTAGTACCGTTTAGGTTGTATAATAATTATTATTGCAATATGATAATATCGTCACAGTTCGCTAATATAAAATATGATATTATGTTATGATATTAGCTGTGATCTTTTGATTAAATAAATACCTAGTGAACAGCGCGGCCAGTCCCCAGGCCAGTAGACAGATGATCATCGCTCTGGTCTTGGTGCACACGTAACCGGCTCGCAACGGTTCGCATATGGCGTAATATCGTTCGAAGCTGATGGCCAGTATGGTCAGAACGGAAGCATGGGCTACCGTGAGCTCGACGAAAGGCACTGCTTTACCTGAAATCATAACCGTGTGGTTAACAAAACGTATTTCAATAATATTATTGTATGATATTTTATTAATACAGTTTTATGCACGTCTTGTGTAACACGATAAATAATATTATACATAATAATATGAAGCAGCGTATATAGTCTGTATTCGTGCTGTACGAGTCTGCAGCAAACAAATGAACACGTCCGAGTTGATTAATATTTTAAGTCGAGCGCATTTAATCGGTACGTTTGCGTGCAGGACTACTCGTGTTGTAACGAAAACCCGCAACATAATATTATATTTTGACAAAAACACGCGTTTCATATGTAGCTACCGCGTGTCAAACGCAACACCGCATCACAGACGCTCACGAGAATAGTTGACTAATACGTATAAATACAACTAAATATTATGTTGTAAAAAAATATTTCTCAAATGACATATTTTACATGTTTTAAGCAACAATAGTACTGTTTTGATTGATGTTTAAAGTTGAGGTCGTCGATTGTCGACTGTCGAGATAATATTATTTTTGCCGTTGAACGAGTCGCTTTTGATGACTTTGATAGACGTCTTATATTAAAATTTCTTAATAGGTTCAGGCTCGAATAATAATTAAGGGATGACGTCGATTTCTCGATATTGTAAGTTTATAATATTAATCACTATCAAGTATAATGAATTATCAAGTCTCCCTCCTCGCCGTATGGCGTTATATAGTACTTACATAATAATACAATCGATCCACTGTGTAAACTAATAAAATATTTTTTATAGCCCTTTTCGTAAACATTGTCTTTTGGRAAACATAGTTTTTATACCAAAAGCCGTTATAGAACAAAAATATGACAAATGAGATAAATTGACGAAATCTTCAAAGAATATACGTAATAGAATACCTATAGGTACGTATAAATATATATGGAATGTTTTAAAAATTAAAAAATGTTATCAAAATGCTAAACCCTCAATTAAAAAAAGATACAAAACCGTATACGAGTTAATACGCCATGCATTATAATTGGTAATTTTTAATAATAATAAAAATAATCTGAACATAAAGTGATGCGATGTATATACATTTTTATAGTTACAAAATTTTTGTTCCCGAATTCCGTGACTCCACAGTCATTACACAAAGGAATGTATATGGTTCAGTTTATTTTTATTTTGATATCAAAAGAAKATGGTGTTCATCTTTTTCAAATGAACTACCGCATTATGATGTCACAATCACAATCTGATTAATGTACATATACATATTTTTTTAATAATGCCGACCCCCTCTTAAATATTACTTATATATATATATATATATACTTGCAAGGGGATGAACTCTTTTAAAATAATATAATAAAATATTTATGATATGACGTACAATATGCAATAAAAATAAATATATTATTATATAACAACTATACTGAAGCAGTTGGACAATAACATTTGTTAGTTCATAAAAGCTGTTTGTATTCAATTTGTTTCTTTGATAGCAATCTTTCGGCTTTTTTTTAGGCTGTTAAAAAATAATATCCTATGATTGGGCTGTAGGAGAACTAAAAAAAAAAAATACCCGTCAAAGTCCGGACCTCGATGACACTCGACAATGATAATATTACACCGGGTACCAATGACAACGTCGCTGAGTACGAATAATGATGATTAAAAAAAAAGAACAAACCCGGCTTGCGTTCTCGTKCAATGATATTACGATATTTGTATCGTTYCCGTCGACATATAATAATATTATAATATAACAATAATTTATAATCACATTACGGTACGTTATATTATTATTAGTGTCATTCGTTTTCCGGTCGTAGTCTCGTGGCGCCTACAGCGCATCGATCGCGTGCCAAATAAATTCGTTTCCCATTAGACAAAACCAAAAAAAAAAAAAAAA